TGCAGCCCTGCAGCTTGGATCCATAGTCCATTCACTGAGTAATCCTGAGCTTTGCAGAGGGAGCAACCAGGTGGGGAAAAGCAAATGCTGATAGAACAGACACTTTTGTGAAAGGCACATTCTGAGCATTCAACCTGGCTCTTTTGGATTTACAGTCTAGAGCAGGGGTGGACAATACAAAGCCAGGAGCCAGCAGGGTTAGCCCCTAGTGGGTCACCACTGCTATGTTTACCTGTGCCTCCCTCCGTAGGTATTGGAGGGAGCTTTGGCTGGCCATGAATCGTCATTTAGGAAGCGTGAACACCACTGCCCACTGCTCTTATTGGCTGAGAATGGTGATTTGTGGCCAACAAGAGCTGTGAACCTCCGATACCTGTAGAGGCACAGGTAAACATGGAGGTGGGGGCCCACCCCTGGTCTACAGAGAAAAAGATAAACTGCCATTATTTTGTGCCTGTACAAACCAGTACTTCGAGTGCAGAATTTTGTTACATCTTTAATTATAGCTCCTGAATGCTTGTCACACACTGCTGAGGCTTCAAAGATCAGAAATGAAGGAAACCAGATTCTTTAACCTTCAGAAACTCACTGTTTGATTTTTTTTCCCCCTTCAAGATGCAAATTACCCACATCTTCTCATTGATTCACACGGAAGTACTGAGTGCCTCTGTCTATCAGGCCATCAGTCTGCGTGAGAATGATATTGGGTATCTCTTGTTCAACTGAGCTTCCTCACAAATATTCATGTGCTCTGTGTTTTTACTTTATAATCCAGTATAATTTATGATACTTTCCTTGGCCTAAAAATGTTTCATGAGATTTTTTCGGTCCTGCCTTTGGAAGAAGCTGCTGCTAAGAGTGTAGCCAACAATCTTTGCTGCCACACTGCTGACCCCTCAGTAGCAGCCTGAAGGATGGGAGAGGATTACTCTGCTGCAGTGGGTTACAGTTCTTTGGTCTACTCCAAAGGATCTCAGATTTCAATGCACTGCAACTCCACCTTAGATACCAAAAATTACTGTGTGATCCCAGAAGAGGGGACTGCCTGAGCTCCATTGCCCCGGCAAGGGGGCAAAGCCTGATCCCTGGTGGGGGAGGGGAAGCTGAAGCCTAAGGGCTTCAGACTCAGGAAGCGGGCCTGTAACATGAGCCCCACAGCCAAGGGTTTTGGCTTTGGCCTCAGTCAGTGAGGTTCAGGCTACACGCCCGGGCCCCAGCAAGTTTAAGCTAGCCCTGGTGACTCCACTAAAATGGTGTTGTGACTCACTTTGGGGTCCCAACTAGGGATGTAAAATCCCATTTAATCAGTTAACTGGTTAACTTTAGGTTTAACCAGTTAACCAATTAAGCAGGATGGGGAAGACCTCCTCAGCCCAGCTGGAGCAGCCCCCAGTCTGTGAGGCTGCTGCAGGCCCACCCCCATCTGCCCTGTGTGAGGCTGCCACCAGCCATCTTGGGCCTAGCTGCCACCTACTGCCCCAGCCCATGGTGTGGTGGGCCCAGCAAGGTTTCTTCTGGGTGCTGGTTAACAATTACCTGGTAAGCATCATCCTGTTCACATCCTTAGTCCCAGTCCACAGTCTGAGAACTGCTAGTCTGTTGCCTTCAAATGGATGACTTTGATCACGGATTGAGCACGTTATTGAAAAGGTGGAATTTGTTGTATAATTATAACTTCAGTTCTTGTTATACTGTATCTTAAATGAAGGGCTCTGGTGGCATGAAGATGAGTGCCGTGTAAATGTTGTTTAGACAGATGCTAAATAAGATAAGAAAAATAAGGACAGACTCCCTTCATACCATTCTTAAACTGCTGTCTTTCATTTTATCTGATCCATCATGTGATTTCTTATGGGATCATACCCTTTATGACATGAAAATGTGTTATTCTACTAGTACATTAGCAGCACTTCATACATGCTTAAATATGAATTGATCAGCAAATACCTGTTAACTGGAGGCACACACACAAGACTCCCATATTCCTGGGTACCTCAAAAAGCTATCTTGTAACATCCATCCTCAATGCACTGCTGGCAGTAGTTCCATTGCTTGCCAATCCAGTCTTTTAGGTGCATTCCTGGATATATCACTTTTGAGGTGGTGCTACTGTAAATGACCAAAAACATGGCTGAGCCACAGAGAGTATACAGCAAATTAGGCATCGAATCTAAGCAATACTGTTAGGTTTTCAAACACTCCAGTGTGTCAAAGCAGTGCCATTGTAGAATATA